CTCCCACTGGTGCTCACATGTAGCGCGACTTGGCCTCAATTGGCATTGGCCACTAGCCGCCACACCTGTCATGGGCTCCGACAACGTGGGCAGCGCGCGTGAGTGCGCCTCATCGGTGCGGGTCATGAGAATGATTTGCTTTTGTGCTTTGCTCGCATATACATATATGTATAATTATTACTAAGATCAATAATTTCTCTTTCTTCTGCTTCAGCCTTTCATGCGTTGCTTACGAATTATTCGTAATACGACAGTCGTCACTGCTGATATATTTACTTTGCCTCCTGTGAGCTAGTGTCAATTTTATGTAGGTCATTTTGGAAATGTGGCTTCTGGCAATAATGCGGTAATACGATCCCGGTTTTATTGCCTCTCTATTGTTTGACTCCTCGTGAGTACCAGTTGCCTGGGCGTCTTTTAGTTGGATCTATGGCATGTCAAATGAAGGATTTGTAACCCTCCGGAGTCCCAAAAATTATTCTCTTCTTTGCGAACACTCTAAACGTGATCTACTTGACTAAATTTGTCTTTGTTAGAAGTGCGAATGTTCACTTATTCTACGTTTTGACGGTTTGTGAGGTGCAATGTATGTCGTTTGTTTGTCTAAACTTTAGCGCATTTTGATTTTTATCACTTTGTATGCTCCATAGCCCATCTCGTCTCCTGGGTATGATTTGTCTTGAAAGAATGGTTGTACTTCCTTTGCGTAGATTGTACGTCGCTGCTCCTTTTGAGCTGTGCATGAGGTGTGTCGTTAAATTACTCCCGGCTCACTTGCTTCTGCTGCCCTCTGCCGCGGACTGCTTATTTTAGCTCTTGGTCTCTACCACCTTCCATCACCCATAATTCATTAAGCAATTAGTCATTCTCTTTAGTGCATACGTCAGGTATTTTCGCTTTAGGTGGTTCACTTGAACTCACTGAGGGTGGCTACATGAGTAATCGGTGTGTATGTCTACCAATGTCTACCAATGCCTCATTTTGTACCGTGTACATTAAATCTGCAATGATTCAGATGGTAGTCTTAATCAAGATGGCAGGCAACGAAAGGATCAGATTCGATCCCGTGCACATCTACTGCAAGCATAGCGTGGCAATGTGAAGCATAATCTTGCACCGGCGCGTCATTTAAATGATGTCAACGTCTTGGTGAGGATCGCTAAAGGTGAAATGTTATTGGCGACTG